GTTTTTCTTAATTTAACAAAAACATATAGTGCATGTTAAGGATTGGTAACTTTACTTATAGGATTGGCAACTCATCTTGAATCTCAAACTATTTATTATATTGTTTTGATAGCTTGCGTCCTCAAAAATATTTTTGTACATGTTAGGTGAAGTCACATGAACTTTTATATGTACAAACCATTTTTTTACGCCAAATTTAAATTTTTGCCATATGATATTATGTGTAACTGAACTCTACCCTTAAATTTCTAATTAACTTTTGTGTATCATTTCTATATATATATATACAAAAATTTGTTGCATATAGTAACACTTTAATATTGATGATTTTTTCTCACAAGCATATTGAAGAAATATTTTTTTTATTACTTTTGTTTTGGTGGTGTCTATATGATTAAAAAAGTAAGGTAAATAATGTCTCAATTATTAATCTCCTTACATGTTTGTAATTCATAATTTCATTTATTAATATCATAAATAGATGAGCGAAATAGAAGAGATTCCTGTAATTCAAAAAAATAAGAAAAGAAAATTGGGTAGGCCAAGAAAATCCATTTGGGCGCATTTTATAGAAACAAATAATCTTAATAGTAATAAAAAAGATAACCATCCAGGAGCAACATGTGTTTATTGTGGACAGCAGTGGGCACGTGGGAAAAGTTCAGATATGATTGCACATATTGCACTCTCTTGTCCTAAACCCCCTCCACCTGATGTTCGTGCAAAATTTCAATCTGTTTTACAAAATAAAGATGTGTCTGATGAGGACAATAATGATAATGATAACAATTTTCAATATAAAAAAGGTCAACCAAAAATTACAGATAAATTTGAAAAATTAAAGATTTCTGATGAGAAACAACGAAAATGTATACAAGCTTTAACAAAATTTTTTGTGTGTTGTGGTGTGCCTTTCTGGATTGTTGAGAATCCTTTTTTTATTTATTTTATAAAAAATTTGTGTCCGGGTTTTCAACTCCCAAAAAGGACCACTTTGTCTACTACCTTGGTAAATATGGAATGTGGCCATGTAATTTCAAACATTAACAATTGTTTAGATAATCAAATAAATCTCACATTAGGTAATATAACAATGAAAAATTTTTTTTTTTGATACAAAACAAAATTTAATTTTTTTTTTTTTAAAAAAAAAGGTGTAGATGGCTGGACCTCTCCATCTGGACAATCATTATACATTTTTGTGATCATTACATCAGATGGTAAAGAATATGTTCATTCTTTGAAAAATTTTTCTAAAAACATGCATACTGGGGATTTTTTAAGTTCTGAATTGCTACGAGTTCTGAATGAAGTAGGAGTTGACAAATTTTCTGCAATAGTTTCTGATCATGCTGCAAATATTGTATTAGTGAAGAGATTAATTGCTGATAAATATCCTCATATAATTCCAATTCGTTGCATTGCTCATCATATTAATCTTTTAACAAATGATATAATGAAGTTGGCTTGGTCATCAAAAATTATTAAAGATTGTAAGAATGTGGTTACATATTTTAGAAAATCTCATGCTGCTCACGAATATTTGCAAGAAGAAATTGCTAATTTTAATATAACAGGGGGAGGTTTAAAGCAATACATAAAAATCCGCTGGACAACAGCTTTTGATTGCACTAATTCTATAGTTAGATGTCAAATGGCAATGAAACATGTAAATATATGTTTTTTTTTTATTATTTAATATATTGTATTCTTATATAATTAATGTAAAATCTATTCATTTTCATGTTTTTCTAGTTAGTTGAAAATAAATCATATTTATTTAGTAATAAAATTTTGTCCATTCTATGATGTCATACCTTTTATTGTAATATTGAAGATCTTCAAACTATTCTTGAACCAATCAAAAAAAGTGGTGGTTACTCTTGAACATAAAAGTACTACATTGGTTGAATGTTTCATTCATCTTATGAAGCTAGGAATAATGATTAAGGAATTTCCATCAGGAAATATACCTTTTAAAGAACAGTGTCAAGAAATATTTGATAAACATTGGGGGCAATTCAATTTTGAGTTGTATTTGCTTGCTTTTTTTTTACATCCCCAACACCGAGGTATGTATTTATTTTCATATTTATTTCATCAAGAGAGTAAATATAAAATATAATTAAAATTAATTCATGTAGATAAGGGCCTACATGCAAATACCTTTTGTATTATATGTGAAAAATCTCTTCAGATTTGGAAAAATTTAGGTGGTGGTAATACTTCAGCAAATGAATTAATAGCACAATTATCTAACTATTCACTAAAAATTAAACCATATGATTTTGAGTTTGTTCCTGGAATTCATACTGTTAACAGCTGGTGGTTAATGTGTAAGCAAAAAAATAACCACATTCAACAGTTAGCTTTAATAATCCATTCAATAACTCCTCACAATACAAGTTGTGAAAAAATTTTTTCTGTACTGGGTTGGTACATGAACAAAAGACAAACAAGGTAAATCCATTATAAAGTTAAATTCATTTATCATTTTTATTTAGTATTACATTTAAATCAATAACCTGGTTATTTAAATTAGATTAAATTATTCATTACTTGAGAAAATGGCATGAATGCATTCCTATTATGTAGCCAATGCAAAAGATGAAATAAAATATGCATATCAAGGATTAACTGATTCAGAACTTGAAACCATGATTCAAAGAAATGTTTCTTTTGATTTAAATGATGAAGAAGAGAATGATGATTTTGATAAAAATGAAAATGAAAATGAAAGTGAGAGTGAGAATGAAAATGCAAATGAAAATGAGGATGAAGATGAAGATGAAGGTTTATAGGAAGAAGAGCAGCTTGTAGCAGCTCAAATTAATCAAAACCCATTAATGTTTGATCAATTAATTGATGTAAATGTTCAAGAATTTTGACGTGCATTGGAAATTGAAGTTTCTGTTTTAATTCCAGCTACTGAGATTGTTGAACATGGAGATCAAGAATTTGACATACAATCAATTGTAGAAACCACAATGTTAAGAAGATCAAACAGATTGAATTCAACTTTTAGTGATATTAGTTAAAATTTTATTTTTTTTGAATTTACTTTTTTAAAAAAATTTTTTTTTGTTTAATTACAGTAAAAGTAAAAAATAAATAAATATTAATTTTGCATTTTTTAAATAAACCGAATTTATTTCTTTGATTAAATGTTATGCAGGTTCACCCCTGGATTTGTTACCTCAGTAGTTTATCGGGAAATTTTCGAAAATTAATGGGGATCCCAAATTTGGGATGTCATAAGTAGTTTGGGATCCACAAATAATTTGGGATGTCATAAATAGTTTGGGATGTCATAAATAATTTGGGATGCTATAAATAATTTGGGATGCACAAAATTTCAAATCCTCCACCCCAAATTTAATTTGTGCATTTGGGATTTGGGCAACATCTTTAGTATATATAATAATAATAATAGTAATGATATGTTTCTTAAAATGGAAAAAAATCAACAAAATAAGTTGTTTGGAGAAGAGTTGAATTGAATACAACATAGTAATAGAAGTAGTTATTTTTGATAGTGTTGCTTCCACATTCTCAATTTGAAAAAATAAATCATTTCATTTTAAATTGTATAATAGTAATATTGCTGCTCAT